AAGGATCTATAAACCTACTCCTCCTACCATTTAACTTGTTACTAAGCAAGAGAAAAAAAAACACCCACTAATCCAGCAGAGCTCTTGCACACCCATCTGTATATTTTACTTATAATACTTAGTACTGTTGAAGTCAAACACAGGTTTAACGCATCACTTACAAGTTATTCCCAGAATTGAAACAGTTGTGTGGACTTTCTTGGGTTTCAGAATAGCTCCTTCATAGAAATGTCACAGTCAATCAATTAAGAAAGCTAAAAGTAATCAGTCACCCACGGTTGATTGGATTTAGCAGTTGGTGAATGCTTTTTTGTTCTTGGATCAACTACACCCACTTTCAAAGCTGATTAAAAATTGTTGATGATCTCTTCCACCTGTTCAGGATGATAAACTAGCTCCAAAACTAATCACCTCCAAAACCCTGGGCAAGTCAAAGTAGCTCCTGCCAGGCTGCACCCTGATGTGAAGACAAAAGCAGGAGAAAAGTGAAGCAACACCTGTGGAAGAAAAGTTTATAGACATCAGGTTTTGAAACTTAGTAACACTTAGGAAAACAGTGATCCTGGGCACAGAAAAGTGGAATTGCTTCCTGCAAATATTCAGTTACAGCCACTGCTTGGGCTCCTCTCTCTACTTCCTCCAGTGCGGTGGGAACCACCACAGCAGCGCACACAGAGCAGAACAGCATCCTTGTGGGTAAACCTTCAAAACTTGAAACAACACTGCCCTGCTGGTGCTTTTGAAAATACAACAGCCAGCTTATTAGGCTGCTTCCCCTCTGGGAGAGGTCAGCAAAGCCAGCAAAGACCCTGGCTCTGCCATTCCCATGGCTCCTGTAAGCAGAGCTGAGCCACTGCTGCTCGTTTGGGCTGTTGGATGAGGGGAGCAGGTCGTGTCTGTGTGTGCCTGCCCAAGCTCAAACTCCTTTAATGGCATGAGGAGGCTGTTGAGTTCTCCATTTCTTCCCTCCATCTGTGCATGCTAGAGATCAAAAGTGGGTGAATGACACATAGATGTCCCTCCTCTTCAGCAAACATAGTGGAGCACTCTGAGAGTCTGCAAAAATGACAGAAAAGGTCTCTGAGGATGTCGTGTTGCAATCTCAACCATTTGGCCAAACAAAACCCATCTGCCATCATAACATGAACCTGAAAACAAAGCTGACAAAGCCAGGAGTTGCAGAACTCCACAGAAACCCTTCTTGTCTGTTGTTGGATACCATTTTTTTTGTATTGTTCAACATGTACTTCAAATATTTGTATGAGTAATGGCCACATAAAAAAAAATCAACAGACAAGAAGACCCACCTGAATGTGCTATCACCACTGGAGTCATTGCCAAACCACACTTTAAAATACATTTTCTGGTGAAATATACAAACAAAATTACCTAAAGTTTCATGTGGCACGTAGCTGAGGACTAGATCCTTAAGCTGATGCAAGTCAGGGCACTCCCAGTGAGATCAGTTCATACCACCTGCAGGACCAGATCCTCATTTATACTTATTTCCTTATTATTGTCAGCGTTACCTTTCCTAGGCCATTCATTTATGCTGCTTCAATCAACCCAGCAGCCTCTTTAATTGTGGAAGGACATCACCATTCAATTTTAACCTTTATTTTGTTCCCAGAAGCATTTCTTTCCAAAGGAATTTTAACAATATTTCAAAAAGGTGATAGTAAATGCTCTTTCATTCTTGTCACACATAGTGAATCTGCTGGCTGGGAAGTCCCAGGTAAGGTCTCAGACAGAGGTTAATGCAGTCAGCAGATGAACTGAGGATTGCTTCCCTGGGGATTCTTGTACTGAATTTGTAAGTGTTGAGTTTGCAGGTGATCCCACTGGCACATGGCAATGAGACGACACAGACCTCCACAGCACTTCTGAAAATTTGAGGCCAGAATCCTTGAAGGACTTTGGGATTTAAACCCACAGAAAACCAGCATCTCTGATGCCTGCTCACCTCCCAGCACTCTGTGTTATCAGAGCATGTGTCTCGTCCAGCCTCAGCCACCGAAAAGCAGAAATGCTGATGCTGTTCCAGAGCTAAGGACCTTACCCTGGACTTCAAATGAGCGAGAGCTCAGAGACCATCTCCCAGGGGACACCCACCTCCCACCTCACCCACTGAAGGACCCCCCCATAACACCTTGGGCCCTGTTCAGGTTGCAAGGCGGGAAGCCCTGTTCAGCTTCTGGTGAGGAGGAGGCAGGACACCACTTCCCATGAAAGCCACCATCCCAGTGATATTGTTATTGTGAGGAAGGACTGACTGTGCAGGCCATGAGAGGCACGAAAGAAGAAGGGCCTGCAAGAGCAAGACCTGCCTTGGGTACTTCTCACAGAGTCTGGCTCAGGGCAGGGTTTGCAGCAGGCTCTGAGGCACGAGAGCAGCAGAACAGGTCCCTCTGCAGCTCTCCAGCCTCTCTGAGTTTACATGGCTTCCTGCTGTGAGGGTTGGCTTCTGAAAAATCCCTCCCCCGGGTGATTAGGATGGACTTTTGGGATGTCATCAGCAGGATGCTTAATGCAAGGCTGAAAATCCAAGCGGGAAGCGCGAGCTCATTACATGAGCTGCTGCACCCCTCTGCTAAGCAGCTCTACAGCATCATTAAAAACCTGGCAGTAGGTACCTATCTGCACCTGTAATTGCCTAACAGCCCTCAGAGTTTAGTTACTGACCCCAGGGGAGGCAGGTTACCTTGGCAGAAATGGGAGGAGAGCTGGGTTCCTGATGGTGGTTTTGTTTTGCTGACCAGTGCCTTTTTTTTTTTCCATTTTAAAAACAGTCTTCAAAAAATGAATGCCAAAATGCCTCAGCCCATTTAATTAATTATAAGATGTTATAGAAGAGAATCATGAGTAAGTTCAAGAACTCTATAAAAACAAGGATTTCATTATCTTTTGTTGGTCTGGTTACAGGCTAGTAATCCACAGCAGATTACTGGGATATGATTGCCCCACATATATATATATATGTATGTATGTATGTATATGTATGAAAGTAACCTAATGTAGCATATTCCTGTGGCTACTCTCTCTATCCACCCATGGAGAATATATTTTACTGAGCTGATTGGAACAGAATGCTTTAGGTTTTAATTTTACTTTTTTGAAGAAAAACTCTACATATTCATGTAACTTTCTCAGAGGCTTCTGTAAACAAAGAATTATGTTCAGGGCCACTGCCAGAAATAAGATATGTCAGAGGTCTGTAACCCATTCAACAGAGGATCAGTCAATGGCCCAAGGGTACTTCCTTGCAAGGGAAAGGGTAAAATAACTGAGGTCAAGGCCTCAAACGCAGCTTTAGTTTTAATCATGTTGTTGATTTAGAGCATAACATACCTTTTTTTTTTTCCTTTGCAATTGTCAAAAAAAATTTTGCTTGTCTTGACATGTCTATAATGGCCCCCATGTCTGTTCATTGCACTAGTCCATGCTGAGCTCATGGACAGGGATGTACAACATCACTGAGATGCAAATATATAGGCTTTACATGTAAATAGATTTGTTTCCCTCATGCTACTCTACAAACATGTGGAAAGAGTGAAGGGCAGGGAAAATGTCTTTTTGATAAGGAAATCTTTCAGTAAAATCCATATACTTAGAAGCAAATTAAACTATTGGGGGTAAAAAGTTTCGATACAATGATTTCTTAGATTTGGGAGCTAAAAGGGAAAAAGGGCAGAGAATCAGCAAAAGAAGGGAGAGGACTCAAATTTTCAATCCTCACTGGACATTTTGAGACAGTTGTTTCATAAAAAAAAGAAGTAAAGGTTCTTATTTCATTTTGCAATAAAACTAAATAATTTGTAAAACATCTTTGTGCATATGAAATGGAATCTGTTTTTCCACCATGACACATTCTATCCATACCTGACTGACTGAAACCAGGCACCAGAGGAAAGACCCAGCCACCTGCCTTCCTCACCCAGGTACAAAAGGACACAGTGAATTGGCTTTTAAATTACAATACAAAAAAGTGCTATTGGCAGGGTTTGTTTTATTTTTCCTGCTGGCATCACTGGAACCTCTCCCATTTCAAGAAGAGTTTGCTTCAAGATCTTCTTCACATAGCTCAGTCAAAACCTTAAGAAAATTTCTAGACAAGCCCCTTCTGCGGCCCCTGCAAACTGCGTACATGTGTAATTCGGATAGTTAGGAGTGGCAGGAAGCCTGTGTGTCCTAAACTAAGCACTGCACTGCAAAGAGGTGACAGGTGAGGCCATCACACACTTGCACACAGAGTACATAGCTCGTGCCCCTACATGTTTGACCATCACACAGCAAAATCCTTTACACGACATCCACGTTCAGTCTCTGGCTTAGAGCTCTCCTCACACAAACTACCCCTCCCCATTTTCTGCTGCTCCTGACACCTTTCACCATCTCCCTCTCTGGCCACAAGTGTCCAACATGAGCCCACTGACCCGAATTGCAGTCCACAAGGAGAGCAACAAGGGCAGTAAGTCAGCAGTAAGGTCATGAGAGGTGAAACCCTGGCCCAAAGGATGCTGTGAAAACTAGGATTTGTGCCAAGGTGATGTCAGGTCTCAGGCAAGGTCCAGATGAGGGAGCAGGGGTGGGACACTATTCCCAGCCAATCCCAGTTGTGCAAATGAAACAACATGATGACCCTGTTCAGGCACAGTGCCCAGACACGGATACTGCCTGGTCTCCAAGGAGAAATGACTGATATTGTTAACAAGGTCAGCCTGACTGCAGCATCCTTCCCATATCACAAACTCTTTCAGCACACCACACAGTCCAGGACATAAACTAGGAACAGTAACAAGCTTTAAGGTACTCGTGGGAGTTATGCAGCTCAAACGCACTTTGGGAGTGCATTCCTGTGAAATCTGCTGAAGAGAATTAATCCCTTTGGGGCAAATGCCAAGGATTTTTGATTTGGAGAATTATCACTCTGAATTCTGTAGTCATATCTGTTATGAATAAACTCTACATTAAACAAATATACAATGATTAGAAATAGTCCATTTCAGGTTTGTACAGCAACTACTTTATTATTTTCAAATGCAAATGTTTGCATTGTTTGCTATTTTACAATTTTACAAACTAGGTATAAAAGACCATAAATAAATGACATAAGTTATGTGTACCTAAAATTCATGGAGGGGGAAAAAAATTACAAATTAAAACAAAATAGAAAAATCTATATATCTAACCCAGAGATCATTCAAATGCACAAACCAAGAAATGCTGTTAGATTTTTTCAGTATGAACTAAATTATAATATGCCTCATACATTCTAATTTTAACCACAGTCCTTGCATATTCCAACATACTTGCAGTGATACAAAAAAATAAATGCACTCTCTTTTTATTTGTCTGATTAGTATTTCAGATTTTTTTTTCTTTTCTGGTTATGAAAATGTCACATAAAAGAAAAATACTGCTTTTTAAGTCCTGTTCACTGGTTACTTACCAGCTTTTTGTATTTTATACATATATATTTTTAATACATAAGATCCATCACAAAATTAGCACAGCAAGAAAAACCCGGACAAACATCAACCAGTGGTGTGTGAGCAGGACAATTTCTTAACACACAGAGGCTTCTCGTGCGAGACAGGCCGGCAGTGACCTCTCTTCTCCCAAGGGGCAGCAGTGCCGTGGCACTCGCCTTCCGCTCATCCCAGCTCCGCCTGGAGCAGCCTGTGGCCGCCCATCCCAGCACAGCTGGCACCTCCCGGTGCCCTGCCCGTGCCCAGCCTCAGCCAACAGCACCGCTGCCTTCGCTTCCCTCCCACAGCCCTGCCGCTCCTCCTCTGCCAGAGCAGGCAGAATTACTGCTCCAGGAGCTCCGAGGGTCGGCAAGGAGGAAGCAGAAGCAACTTCAGGACACCACAGCTCCGGTCAAGGCTGCACATCCAGACTGCCCAACGTCTGCCAGAGCCAGCCCCTGTCCAACCTGGGCTGCACTGGCGGCCCCCAGCAGCCAGGGAGCAAGTGGGGAGTGTCACCTGCCCCGCTCCAAGCACTCTGGCAGCCCTGCGTTCCCTGGGTGATTCCCCTCCGCTCCACTCCAACTACCTTACACTACACTAAGGTGGATTCTCCAAACACAGAAAGCTTTCCTTGGTAGGAACCAGTAAGTTGCAGCACTGTTCCTCAGGCCATGGAAGAAAGAGTGTCTTCTACTGCACTTCACCTGCTCTTCATTACCTCTACAAGGAACAGGACTCATTTCACAACTGCCTGGCTAACTACAGTAACTTTACTGGCATTATTGTTCCTTATCTGTGCTGGGAACCAGGGAAGTGTTCTGATTATTACGTTACAAGATTTCACAGCTTGCACACAGAGCAAGGTGCTTCTGTGAATGGAAGAATTGCATATATTTGTTCGCATTCAACAAGTCTTTAAAATCCTATTTTTGCAGATAAAAAAGGCTACGTAAGAATTCAGTTCAGGATTACCAGTGGATGGAAATGCAGGTGTTGCCTCCATTACCTTGCCACTTGCAAACTGGTTGGTCTTGGTCATGAACAGGGCACTAGTACGAATAAACAACACTTAACAAAAACCTTTAGCACCCTTTAGATCCCGTAATCTGTAAATCCAAAACTAACTTGAAATTGCCCCTGTTTCAGGCTGCAAAACTACTCATTAGTGTGGCAGCTAAAAACTACACTTACAGATACAGAAATTCAAACATTTTTTAATGTGTGTGTTCTTGCTACCATTTCAGACACAAGTTATTGGCCTACTCTCACATGACAGGGGACTCCTGCGCTTCCAGAGGTGTTCTCGGCACATTCACAGGCAGTTCTACACACGAGGTGCCTCGCACGCAAACACACACACACAGCCACACAGACGCACCTTTCAGAGGAGATAATAATCCATTATCCACTCAAGGAAAAAAAATATATTTATATCACTGCAATGGCACCTTCAGTGTAAAATGTCACCTCAGCAATGTACATAGGCAGCTCACAGGAACTGGGTTCTTTGCTGTGGCACCTGGCCTGGTGTCCTTGGTAAGATGTGTAGTGCTCCATCACCTGCATCTGTCTGAGATGGAGCGGTAACAGCCAGGGAGACGAGGAGAGGAAATAACAAAATATATAAATAAAACTGAAGGTAGGAAGAGAAGGCAGAAGGGGAGGAAAAAAAATCCAGAAGTCTGCAGGGCTTTGACACAGTACATTCCTCAAGTGACAACTGGGTGCTGAGTCTTAAAGAGTTAGTTATCGCTCAGTGGAGAAAAACAACGGAGTGGGTGGCCCGGAAAAAAAAAATAGAGAAAGTAAAAGTCACGCTCTCTTCAGGGACCGATGACTGCTCAGCATGTGTTTTCCAGAATCAGTGCTATGGAAGACGCAACTGTGGATCCAGAAGGCTTCATGTCTAGTCTATGTTCCTCCATGGTCAATTCGATCAACAGGACAGGCTATGGGGCCGTGAAAACAAAATCCATTTCCCTGCACAAAAAGAGAAGACAAATGTATTAAACCACATGCGCCAAGACCGACACGCAGACCTGAACGAATCCCTACTCCTGGATCTCCTGGAGAAACCCTGCTGTGTGCAGCCAGTACCTCCTCAGCTTCCCTCACACTATTTCTAAGTCTTGCTTCCATGGCATATCTTATATACAGATATGTAACCTATCTATCTATCTATCTATATTTACATGTGCCACCTCTTTTTTATTCATCTGCTCTCTTCTAGCTAAAATTACATTCCAGTGGATTCCCTTCATTGGCCATATTTTATCGCAGGGAACGCAACCATCAGTGGCAGTGCTGAAAAACCAGCATCTGAGCTGCCTTCACAGTTTTCATTCTATAGGGACACAGTTTTCCATTTTGTGTGGAAAATATTGCACTGTTTTGAATTACCACTACTAGACTCCAACACAGCAATTTTACAAACTGGCCAGAAAATTCGGTGTATTTTGGTTTTAGATAAAAAGATGATCTCAACAGAATGCAACAGATTTACAGCGAGGAAACTTGAAGTATCTCTGCACTTAAGATGCAAAAGATTTTTTCCTGCTGAAAGTACAAATGTCAGGTCTTTAAAATGAGTAACTACTTCTTATGTTGCCTGGCAAAATGACATTAAAACATGCTGGTTTAAGTAGTTTTTTTTGAAGAAATCTTAAATTTCTTGAAATGGAAAAGCTTTTATAAGTAATACTGCAGAACACTTTACACTGAGCTGTCATGACTTGACAGGATCCAAATTTAGCATTCCATATTTTGAACATGTTGTTCTCTGAGAAAGTTGGGAATGCAGGAGAGTTAGTGGTCAAAACCATCAAGTTATTGTTAAAAGTGACAAAAAGTGATGTGAGTGACAATACAGTAAGTGTGACTTGTCCAACTGAGTGAACTGTTTTGGCTTTAGAATAAACTCAATTATTAAAAAAGTCTGACATATAAAGCCACTAAATCATTTCTGAATTTGCTGTCAGGTGCAGACCGGGACCAAAATATTATAGACTAAAGAATCAGTCTTAGCACCATCAAACTATGAATTTCACCTTCTTGACATTGTGCCTGGCACAGCTGAAATGCAATGTCTGTTCTAAAGGACGTGTCATGAAAATCCTTCTCCTATTCAGCACAGTATAAGGGGGCCCGTCCTGCCATTTTCTAAGGTCATCTCATCACTTTGTTCCTCAAAAGGACTTTAAAAGGAATCTAATTTATATAGTCTGTTCAAAAAGAGTAATAGAAGCTTTAATATAAATAAAATTCAAACCTAAATGTGTTCCGAGCTTTCCTGGATAAAGCTTTATGCTGTGTGACCTACAGAGGACAACCACATTCCCATAGCAGTCTCCTCCACCTAGCAACCCAGGGGATCCTTTCACTCACTCCAACTTCCCATCTGTTCCTTAGAGGAGGTGAAGGGCAGCTTTCCCAGCAGGTCATGCTCCATTTTTTTGGCCATACTTGCAGAGGGGCATTAGGCCTCAGCTGTGCAGCCTGTATCTGGCACTCACACTCACAGCTGCCTCGATAATCCAGCCCAGAGTGATGGTTACAAGAGTGAATTTGGTTCCCACAGCTGATCAGATTGGATCACTGTGCCTGAACTGTAACATTGCTGCATAGCACAGAGCTGTCACCATGCCTGACACCCGAACTGCAAAACCAGGAAGGCTGCATGCACAGTTCCATTTCCTTCTGCTTCCCCTTCCATAAAACCACTGACACTGCATCTGAAACTGGTCTTGCTAAAACATATTGGTTCTACTTCTGCTAACGAGAAGGTAGGAAAAGTCCTTGGTTCTCCTCAGTGCATTTATGAGTATCTGTAATTTACAAGGTTATTGTTACTTCCTATGGGATCCACACGTGTGAGTTTTTCCATCCAAAACACAAGCACATCTCTACTGCTCTCAGTGCAAAGTGGGGTCAAGCTCTCAGCACTGAGCTGAGCCCTAAGACACACTCCTACACCTTGTCTGCACATCCTGACACGCAACATCTTGAGAGCAAGACCAGATTTTGAAAGAGTGCAATTTTCACTGTCATCAAATAGAGCAAACAATGGGAAACACTCAGCAATTAGTTTGGGAAACCAGCACAGGTTCTTACAAACAAGTTGGGAACCCCAAATAATACATACCACAGCATTTTTTACTTTCCCCCAACAGTGTTGAAATCCTAGCACAGTTTAAGAAATAAAGCACCGTGAACATGTACCTTCTGTGAGGCAAAGGGAATTGCTTCTTGAAAGAGAAAAGAAGTCTGAAAGCTCCACAGCCACGATTGTCACAGCTGACTACTGGCGAGATGTTCACAAAATGTCTTTCAATGGTAGGCTTCAGCACGGCACAACAACAGCCAATAATCTCCCCAGAAGTCCAGTTTTGCCCAGTAATCCACAAGGTGGGTCACTTCATGTCTCAAGCCCATAAATGGGTAGATCACTAATTGGCAGGCACTGATTAGCCAAACAACATTCTCACTGAGGTTTCTGCAAGGTATTAGTGATGCATCAAGTCTGCAAAATATATCCTAGGGCAGAGTCTTCATTCCAGTGAAAGATGCACATCGGTGGTTTCACCCACGAATAAAACACTATGGTTGTAATCCTACAGGTCACAGGGAGAAGGAAAGTAATGCTGTTGTTTTTTCAAGCACAGTATCTGGCAGCAAACATAGCATCAAAACTCGAATGTGACTTTATATTTATATAGATACATGTATTTTACATATCGTTGATCAACAGAGAAGTATGTTCCAAGAAACAATTTGTTCCAGGACTGGTCTAAAATGACGGCTCGTCATTTCTGGAGCCCCCCCCCAAACACACACGCTCGGCTTCCGCAATCTGTACATCAAGCAATGCTGCAGATCTTTATTTCGACGGGCGAGGAGACGAAGTAAAAAAAGTGCAGTTCTTCAATTAAAGTGCATGGATGAGGTAAACTAATTTCAAGAGTTTTGAGTTTATTCAGTACTGGCTCAGACGGGAACCATCCTGCCGTGCATCTGTTGCATTTGAGTGCGCATCGCTTGGACACTGCTCAGGATCTTGTTCTGGTGCGCGATGGCCGTGATCCCGATCCTCGCCAGGTCACTGTGGAATGCAAGAGAAGAAGAGAGGGGCTGAGAACTATGGATCAGATGCTGGTGCAGAGAAAAATATTATGAGTCAACCACAAGCAACATTAGCAAAAGCAAGGCAGATGTACAGAAATGTTTAATTAAATAAGTGGAGGCATTGTGGAGGTATTTTAAAGTTATCCTCCATCCAAATGAAAGGCATTCCATTCCTTTAATGAGTGTAATGATATGCAGTACAAAGCAAAAGAGGCTGATTAAATCCAGATTTACCAGTTTTTTGTTATATCGCTGAGTACTTACTCCTGGTTCATATGCACCACAGCCTCTAGGGTGGTATAGCCAGCAGCTGTGAAGTTATCCTTGTATCGCTCCATTTTCATGGCTTGGAGCCAGTCACCGACAGAAACAACCGCTGAGAACTCAGGGGAGCTGGGATCCAGCAGGGCTGTGCTAGGTCTGGACGGCAAACAGTGAAAGGACAGAGAAATGGTGTCAGCTGGATCATGAACCACAAACCAAAGTTTGGTCTCTGCAACAATTATCCTCAATGATGAGGGAAAGCAAGGGCGAGACGCTGTGCCCAACGAAACTGGTGGCTCTGCACATCAACGCAGATCAATGCAAGAAACTGAACAAAATGCAAAGGAATAGGCCAATTTTTGCTAAGAAAGAATCTGACCTTAGGTTTTTATTTTTGGTTTGAGACCTAATTTGAACCACAATGCTGCTTACAACTTCTACCTCAGATGCAACCAAGTTCACAGAAAATGCTTTTACTTCCACAAACAAAGAAGATGGCAATGCTGGAAGGCGTTCAGTCTGCTGGGTCTGTATCTCACGGGCAGCAATGCCAGACCTTGCCAATCCTGCATGTGTCAGACCTCAGCTCAGCAGCTATAGAAACACTACTGAAGTATGTGCAAAGGAACTGGGAGCTCACACCCTGCCAGACTGGTTTGGAGGGTAAAACTCAGGGCGGGTTCAGATAAATCCTATTTCTAGCCAGGTCTGCTCAGAGCACTCAATCAAACTCAGGACAGCAGGGAGTTAATCCCCTCTTTAATCAATCCATTCCTGACTGTAGTGTGTGCCAGGAGTGGCGGGAATCACACGAGCTTTGATCTTTCTCTCTTTGCACTGTGGAATGTGCTTCTCATTTTCCCTTGCACAGATTTGCCAATAATTATTTTTACAAAATTTGCTTCTCTTATTAATATTTCATTTATTATTTCATGTATAGCATAAGCCACAGTTTCATTAAATCACTATAAATTACTACTATCTATCTAATCAAAACAATTATCATTTAGCAATTTATCTGAAAATGCACATCAAAGATTAGGTGTGCAATAGCATGGTTACATCTTGCCTGAGGCACAGAGTACACACTGGTTATACTTGGTACAACTCTTTTACTGCACTATCTAACACAAGACCAATCATGGCAACCTATTTATATATAATTATGCTGCATGTATAAAGTCATATATTAATAATGTTATATGCATATTTGAAATTCATATTCCAAAGATGAGAAATATATTTATAAACAGCCATGAACATGAAATGACCTTGAATAGGCTATTAACTTACATCCACACACACAGAATGACCTTGAACTGACTATTAACTATTGAAAAATCTACATATTTTCAAAGAGCACCTGTAAATTGGAAAGAAAGCAAAATGGAGGAGTTCCTACTGTGGTTCTCAAATCAAATTATCACAGCAGATCATACTGTGATTCTCACCATGTAAATTATTTAAGCATCAAAGGAAGGATACATTTTTGCTAGGCTACCATTACAATTGGGGCAATTTGGAAGACGTGGTGCTAGTGGCCTCACAAGGTTAATAATCCCTCTTCAGATAACATACATTGTAAGCAAGACACACAAAGGGACCTACAAGTTTAAAAAAGGAACTAGCTTTTTCTACAGTGTTGTTCTATTGAAGGCTGAGACAGAACCGCTGTTACTCCTTCACTGATTCAAGAAGCTTAATTTTGTATTGCCTAATGGATATTTTGTACCTTCCCTTCTACTGAAAAATATATTCCCATTATCTTCCTCTTGTTTCTTTCCTTTTAAGCTTTTTTTCCATATTTGCTGTAAGCAAATTTATCTGACAAAGACATTTTAAAAAAGCAGACCAAACCTGGTGTAAATTAGTAAAGCTCCTATTACTTCAGCAGTATTTCATCAGCTTAAACAAACTGCTGATCTGTCCCAACAAAGATATTTTGGTTTTACCCTACTACTCTGGGAGTTTCCTTACTGCTGTGCTTCTTTTGCACGTACCAGGTATACCACGCTTAGCAAACAAAACAAATGTAATGTGGGATCAGTGGAGACATGAAACTGGCTTTCCACAAAATTAAATTCAAATTCACATAAAAATTAATCCACACCTTCCCAATGCCCGCAAGGCGTTGGCTGTAATGCCATAATGCTCATTTGCAAATCCTACACAAATCTAGGGTTTATAAAACTTGATGATCTGCTTTTCCTCAGAAAACCACATCACTCCTGTTAGCTACACTGCATTGAGATGACCCTACCCCATTCAAGCCCTTTCACCACGGGGGTAGATGGGAAAGACGCAGCAAACTCTGCCTTCCAACAGAGCTTGAATGCGTCAGAGCTTTTTTCAGGACGTGCTTAGGGCTGTGCTATAAACTTGCTCAGCGTTGGTGTGATACAGCAACAGCTCTGCTCATTCCATTTTCCTTCTCGCAGGGCTGGGCGAGCCTGGGGTGCCCCGGGGGTCCAGCAATGTGCCAGCACGAGCCCTGTGCTCGCTCGCACAGTGCAGTGGCTGCTGTGCAGCCTCGCTCTGCAGAGCCACAGCGCACACCTCACAGCCAGCACTCGCAGCTTTGCCTGTCACCTCCAGTGTGCTCCCTCGTCCATCACCATTACTAAAGCACAGCTGACCTGGAGCTCTCACTGCCTGTCCTCTTCAGGCTGTTGGGGTTGCGGATGAGTTTGTCCAGCATGTTGACGATCTGTCCAAATTTAGGCCTGTCACTGCGCTCCTTCTGCCAGCAGTCCAGCATCAGCTGATGGAGAGCAATGGGGCAGTCCATCGGGGGTGGCAGCCGGTACCCTTCCTCAATGGCTTTAATAACCTATAAATGGCACAATTAGAAAGACATTAGAGAACATCAGACACTGCTCACATCTACCAGCTGAGTATCATTTATCCTAGGGCAATCCGAACTACGGTAACAAATCCACAGTTAAGTGAAACAACATGGAAAATTTCACTCAGACTCAGGCAGTTGGTGGTCTCAGAACTGTCATTTCTCCTCAGCAATTCAAAACTAAAAGGGTACAGCATCCAAAGCAGATATCAGATACAGGAGGGCAATGTGTCACAAAAGAGCACATTGGATATAGGGATGACAGAATAGCCCTGGTTAGAATTAAACAACTATCGTTGGACAGAGGGTTGGAGAAGCAACAGCTCTACAGGAAATTTTAACTATCTGTCAGTTTTAGGTGCAATATGTTGAAGATTATGTTTTCCCCATAATTTTTAAGGTACAGCAGATCACCCCCTCCCCCTTGTCCCCCTGGGCTAGTTCATCTCTGTTAGTAATACAGGCCTGGCAGAGAACCTGTTCTCTCACCACTATATGCTCTGAGCCAAGAAATGCAGAGACGGGAACCCTTTTGTGCAGCTTTACAGAAGTCCAACATAGCTTAAGAATGTATTTCATATTTAACAGAATCCAGAGAAACTCAGAAACTGAAGTCACTTCAAACCCTCCAAAATGGGCTCCAGAGCTCAGTATTCTGATGTCTTCTTAGCTCTCTCAGGAGAACAGGATTCAATTCTGACATGACAGGGACATGACCCAAGAGCCTCCAGATCTGAATTAATCGATATGACACTGCTGGCAGGACTCACCATGAGACCAGAGATCAGGAGTGAACTGAGACTGAGTTGCACTAAATTCCCTCATTTAGTGCTTGTCCAATTAGTGGCTAAAATCCACTGGGAGGACAGCGCGAGGAATATGCTTGTATTATTAGCAGCTATTCAGTGACCACAAACAAAGTGGCTCTCACTACTCCAGAAAATATGAAGATCCTTTTGCTCTCTCTTGATTCAACAGACACTGAGTATACTTTGAAATCCACTTCTGCTTTTTGTGAAAAGTACTGATTTTGCCATCATTAAGGAGAAAAAAAAGGCATATCTATGATATGTACATGTAAAGAGTGTGCAAGGACCATAATACTGGTTTTCCCTGTCCTGTTCAAGCCAGCTTTTCAACCTAGTCTAGCAGCACACATAAGCAGTGTACACCAGCCTAACATAAACAGCTCTAATAAAAACAGCTCTGTGTTTGTTGCAGTGAGCTCCACTGTGCTGTGCAGACATGCTTGATATAACCGAGACACATCTGGTGTTTTATTTTCTTGCTAAGTCTTGATGACTTCCTGTTAGCAAAGGAAGACAAGACTGGGTGCCAGAAGAGACATTTCACATCAGAAGGAAATTAAAATTATATCCCCTGTTTAGATTAAATGCCATCCGCATCTAGACACTCTTTGAAAATGTTCAGCTCTACATAAGAAAGCAGATGACTTGTAAAATGACTTAACCACTCCCAGGACCGTATATTCAGATTACCATTTTCTTCTTCCTTTATACCCTTGTAAATCCCCTGGGAAAAGAATTACGGATAATCTAGGCTTCATTTTCACTGGGATTTTTTTATTTTCATTTAATAAAAATTCCATTAGCAAAAGCTCTTATTAGCATTATTATTAAATACTCTTCTGGAATAGCAGCCATTGTGCATGCTCCCTCTTGGAATACACTGAAGTAGTCCAGATGGTACAGTTAAACAGGACATGCATAATTTAAGAATGGTCATTTCCAAAAGCTGCTTTTTAATGCCCTCAGGGGGCAGCTATGCCATTGTCACAAGGATGCTCTGACTAGTAATCAGAATTGGATTTCATACATGTTGATTTAGATATCCCACAAGAAATAAAATGACCTGAAAGAGTTACAAGCATACATACAAGAGTTACAGAGCTTCAAGAATTAACTAGCAATAGGAAGCCCAATTAAATTCAAATGTTTTTTTCTTAAAGACATTCAATAAACTCGAGATTTAATATGAACATTCAGATCTCCCCTCTCCTGACAGTATTACGATCTGACACTTTAAATATATTAATTTCCCTTTCCTCCATTTTTCTTTCTTACATTAATTGTTTGGGTTTTTTTAATTAAAAAACCAAAAGAAATAAAACTGATGCACAAGTTACAGACCCTAACTTGAAAACTCCCTATTCCCTGACCAGAGACCAAACTTCAAGTACTCAAGAAATTTTAGTTCCAGAGAAGTTCCCTGAGAAAACAGGGGGTCTACCACCCATAATATCCTTTTAAAAACCTGGAATAAACGTTTTATAACCATATAGCAACTGACACAGACACACATCAGCAGACGTCTAAGGACAAAGGTAAAGGTGAGGTGGGAGGAAAGAGAGAGAAAAGGAAGAGGAAGCTCAGAAGGAGACTCACATCTTGATTGGACATATCCCAGTAAGGTCTTTCTCCATAGGACATCACTTCCCACATGACGATGCCGTAGCTCCACACATCACTAGCTGATGTGAATTTACGGTAGGCAATTGCCTCTGGTGCAGTCCACCTGATGGGGATCTTGCCACCCTGTCACAAATAAAAGAAACCACAGGCTAGTGAGTCACTGACCCAGTAATGTGCGTGGCTGACACTGTTCTACACGTTAAAAATACAAAATGCTTTTTGTACACAACTCCAGAATCCTTCTTAAAAAGGCATCCACTTTCTCTCTTGCTTGCCATAAAACTGTCAGATCCAACCAGGAGGCAATGCTGCCCATCTGTTTTCTTTAGTCACAAGGAGGCGAACCAGTAAATTGTTAAATGAATTTTTATCAGCCCTCCAAGAGATCTCTGCTTAGGGCTATGCTGAAGCCTGAGAACAAGCCAGGGGTTTTACAAAGTATATATTAGAGATTTAGTTGACAAAACAAATAAGTACACGCTGTTAATTACTATTTCCTTGCTTGCCTGCCTGACCTGTTTGGCCTGTTTCAGAAAAATGGGATTATAAACGTTTTGCTTTTCAAAAAGGTAAAATAAAGAGAGGATAAACTGGAAAGATTTATGAATACGGTGGTGTTTCCCATGGGCAATACCCCAATTCCTACCAGAGATGTGAGATGGCAAGCAAACCTCTGGGCTCTCCCAGACCCTGGGGGAGGAGTTCAACACCAGACCATGGTACAAAGCTGCTTTTGATACCTGTTGGAGAGAGCTGCCTCTTCTTACAATACTTCTTTCTAAATAAATAAAAACACTTGGGCATCTGATATGGACCACTGAGGTCCTGCACTGTTTAAAAAGGAACTCACTCCATCCTGTTTATCTGATTTTGCCTTAGCTGAGTGATCCCAGGCCAGAGATTTCTCCTTTTGTTTATGCTAATATGTAAGGTGTTTTTAATTGAGCTTTTGGTTTCCTGCAGTTCCATCTGGGGAATGACTTAAGCTGAACAAAGGTTTTCAGGTTTTTTCATTTGCTTTTATGCTTTTTTGATTAAGTTTGTTTTGGTAGTTTTTTTCCCAACAACCTTTCAGATAGTTTTTATCCATAACTGAGTGCAGCATATGCATACTTAATGATATATTGTTCTAGTATATCTCTCAAGTGTTTAATATGGACTTGTTCCAAAGCCAAGGGAAATCAAAAGGGGTCCTTCTCCTAGCTTCTTTGGCCTTTGCATCAGGCCTTTTGTGAATCAGGTTGTAGCAATATGTGCATTGTGAGGCTATAGGATGCTCTCACTTTAATACTGCTAACAAGACCAGAACACACCATTCTCTTATAAAAGGCTGCTTTAAAAATTGCATTCTACTGCATTGTCTCTGGTTATGTAAAAGCTTTATTCTTCCTTTCAGACAGATTTATACGTGGTTGTTGTTCTAAAAATTGTCAATAAGCTCTTTATATTTAGCTGCTTGAGCACAGTGGAGTTAATTCAAGTTTTCCTGATCCTTCATTACTGATACCAAATGAAGACAATGACTATAAAGCAAATGTCATTGATTCTCTTTAGTTTACTCTTGAGAGCAAACATAATGCTCTATCTCCACTTGCTAAATTTAAAGGGAAGCTTTTCAGTCATTTCTGTCTTGCCCTTGTGTACTTGTCTAAACTCTAATTTCCCTGAATCTAGCTTTCAGATATGTGCTTCTTCCACTTGCCACCCTTATGAGTGAGAAAAAGCAAGGCTGGCCAGCATTTAATACTACATGAGTCTCTCCTTCCCTGTAATGAACTGTGAATCCATTAAAGGATGAGTGTTGGGATTAAATGGCAAGATCTGAGTGCTGCAAACAAACTCTGCACTGGAGAGAACAGATGGAGAATGGCAGATATTTAAAAATGAAGAAAATAAGCAATTAAAAAAGGAGACCTTATAAACTCTGACTTTTTTTTCTTTGCGTGCATGTTGATATCAGAGGTATTGGTACAAAGACTGGTAATGACTGGGATGTTGTATTGTGGCCAGAACTACTTGCATTAGCCCTATTTCCACATGCAGCATATTAAAATGGATTTAGCAAAATTAGTTAACAGTGGGATGCTGAAATACAGATAAAATGGGAAAGAAACAAAAAATGGAAATGCAGGCCTCACACTATTCCCAGTACAAATTATTTAGGTCAAATTTACGACTGGCTTCGTGATGGGCAAGAGTGGATTTATAGGTTTTGGGGTTTTTTTTGGTGACATGTCTTCACTTGCTGTATCAAACCTCAGGTAGGACCGGCCACTTGAAAACCACTAAGCACATTTGTAGATATCTGAAGGAACAGAAATCCAAGCTCAAATTTCCAGCATCAGATTCCTGTCATGTGTTCTACCACGCTGAAGGAACCAGAGGAATACAGGGGGTCACATCCTCAGAGAAGAAATACTGATGTGGCCACTGCTGTAGCAGTAACACTACATCAATTTATATCAGCTATGGAGTCTGGGTCAATGTTTACTTTTAGGTTGTGCTATAAAATTTCACTTGTGACTGAGATTATTTTAAAACAAACCACTGTCACCTCCCACACAGTCAGACAAAACCAACATGTAGGCAAGACAACCCACTGGACATTTTATTTCCCTCCTTACCCGTGTGGTATAAGCTGCTTCAGGGTCATCTTCCAGGACCCGGGACATGCCAAAATCAGACACTTTGCAGACCAAGTTGCTGTTGACCAGGATGTTGCGAGCAGCGAGATCCCGATGCACGTAACTCATGTCAGAGAGATACTTCATTCCCGAGCCAATGCCACGAAGCATCCCCACCAACTGGATGACTGTAAATCTGCCATCATTCTTCTGCACATGGAGAAAGGAAGAAAATCACAAGAGCATTAAGCTAAAAGCTGCATTATTGCCATTGCTGAAACTGGTAAAGAGCATAGCTCTGGATTGCCATCTTCTCTCAATAAAATGCAATGTTATTTCCTCACTCTCCTGACGAGTGTCTATAATTCACCAGTAAAGCAAAAACCCAGAGCTTCTGTCACAGCTTCCAGTGATGCAGTATCCAGTTTGCAATGAATCTGGTTTTAATGAGTCTACAGCACTGCGATGCTTTCAAAAATGGAGCAAATCAGAAGTGGCCCCATTAAATATGCTGCTATTTTAAAAATTACATTTATACTACATTCTCCCCCTTTATATTTATTCTGGTTTTCGATAGAAGCAACACCAGAAAACAGAATTTCCCAAGTACAGACATAATTTTTTTAAAACTGCTGAATTTTCAGAATCTTTCTGGAAAAAAAAAAAAAAGAAAACCAGAAAATGTTTCCCAGTATAAAATCTCCTTAGCTTTTGAAGAAATCACTTACCCTGAGGAAGGCATCCAAGGAGCCATTCTCCATGTACTCAGTTATGATCATTACCGGTTTACCTAGAGTTCGTAGAAAGAAAAACACAATTCCTTGATGAACACCGATGTTAATGGGATAAAAATGGGTCGTACATGATTTTACTGCCAAGACACCTGGCTTACACAATCTAATTTAATTTGAAAAGCACCAAGCTTATGCCTCAGCTGTGGGAAGCAAGAGAAGAAATATTATAGGACAGAAACATTTAAAAGGCCCATCTGGAAGGTTAACCCTTTGACTGACTCATTGACAAGGTCTTTAACTAAAGTGGCTCCTGTTCTCTAAGGAATATATGAATTGACAATTGAGAGCTAAAAACCAAAGATCTGTTCAAACCTGACAAAAATCTTTAGCGTAATTAAATTGCTTGCACACTAGAAAAATGGAATTTGTGAATCCTTTGGTCTCTCTGTCTCTTTTGAAAGATCAATGCTTTAAATGAGTCAGAAGCTGTCATGAGCTAGAAGGTATTCCAAGACAACTGGATTCAAGAATGAAAAATACAGGCTATTCCTCTCAACTTTCTCTGTCCCAAATTTGTATTCCGTGTCTCTCGTTATTTATAAATGAGCCAAAGCCATTTGCCTTCTGAAGTCAACCACAGGCTAAATGACTCAATGCATTGTGTCACATGTGGGGCACAGTGCTAGGCAGCACTCAGCTCCCCATGCTGCAACAGGAGAGCAGGCTGGGCAACCTGAGGAGAAATGTCATGTCACTGACACAGGGACGCTTTCTAGGCACTCTCCTGCCCAAAACACCAGCAAATACATAAATAATGCTTAATGTTGTCTTTAAGTTTTATAAAGGTCATACAATGCTGAAACTGAAAACACTTAGGTACATCCAAGTGGCACTAGTTATTCTTTGGAGTTAAACCATGCTGGATATTTGGAATACAGATGCTTGTGGAAATAGGTCCAATAACATCTCAAAAGTGAGCAATGGGACAAGTACAGAAGTGATTTATCACATATCAAACAGCAGAAGCCTGGTCCCAAGATGAGCACTGTTAAGCTCACCTGAAGTCAGGGGAGTGCCTGATAATCAGTGCTGTCTGACATGGCATCCCTTCCTCCCACTTATGCTTTACCTACAGGTACTATAGAGTTTCTTCCTAAATAAAAGATGGTGTCCCAGAGAAACTCAGCTTTTACTTCCTGGAGCAGCTCTGAATAAGGAAACATTGGGGAAAGAAGGCTTCAATGGCCATGTCACCTAGACTGTAGATAGCTCCACTCTGTCTTGGCATGAGAGGTATCAGAATAAATCAATTCTTCTTTGCTTCTCTCACCAGCAAGTATTTGCTCCCAAAAAGCCATCTCTCAAAATTACCCTACCGTGAAATGTTGCAGCATTTAAAGTTCCCCTAATAATTTCTACCTCAGTGTATCTTTCACCAAGATGCTTTTCTCTTCATTTGTCAGGGATTTCTGTTTTTGAAGTAACCTTTTTCTAATTAGAAAACAATATGCTACAAGGACTGCCTGTAGTGAAAATTTTACATTTCACTTAGGCCAAGATCTATGTGCAATGCATCATTTATTTTACTCATCATTACTTATTTCACCTTTTTAGTCCCAACCTATCCTTTGCAGGCCTTTTACTATTCCTGCTTTTACTTCCCTTCCTGCTGATATCCAAACTCTTACTGCTTTGGTCCCATGCAAGCTGTCAATGAAATGCCAGCCTGGCAATGGAACCCTTTCTGATTTGCATGAACGCTGCAGAGAAGCAATGGTATTGCACAAAGCAAACTGCTTCAGATGAAGGGCTTAGTGACCTTGGCTGAGTACATCCTTAAGTAAAAGGATGTGATAAAACAACATTCTCCCTCTAAGTCACCTTTGCAAGCATTCTTTGGTAGAAAGAGGAAGACTTCCAAGCAAATCTGCATATGGCAGTGTTTCATTTATCCTTTGCAACTGTGACACCAACCCTTCCACTGAACAAATACAGCTAAATGAGTTTTAATTAACCTTCCTCAATCAAAAGATACTATGTCAACGCAGAAGGGAAGAAAGGGAGACTCTTTCAGTGCATTAACATGTAATTTCATTACTCAGGCACTTCTTTAGCAGGGGAGGGGGATAGAGAGCGGAGGGAGAAGTTACCATCAGTGAGTCAATTATTAAAGTACTTGACTAGCAGCCAATAATTTATTCATGGTTTTTTGCTGCCTCTCTCAACCCCCATCCATACCACTATTTATCTCACATTTTAATTTTCAGTTTATTAAATGCATTCATTTATCACAGCATTCAGAAAACCCACGGAGAAATTGAGATAAATGTCTCCTTAAGTAGCCCTGTTTACCCGAGAGCCCAGCTCTGAGGTAACGGAGCCGCTCGCCGCGGGAGCATCGCTCACAGTGAGCAGGGAATGGAGCGCTCCTGGGTCAGGCCACCACCCCCTCGGTGAAAATTCCAAATCATTTTAATTCACTGACAACTGCATTATGCAAATGCACACGGTCATTTATAACTGCTAGAGCTGTAGCAGCTCAGGGGGTTCCAGCCTTGGTGGGATTTCAACATAAAGATTCCTCCGCTGCCTTTTTTTTTACAGGAGTGCTAAGGAAAATCACTGTCTGTAGCAAACACCGTGGCCTGATCACAACCTCCCTCCCCTTACTTACAACAACAACACAAAGAGAGACTCAGCCCTTCCACATTTAAACAGAGTACTATCTTAATTTTAGGTTTGAGGGAGGGTCTCAGTAAAGGATGGTCAAAATTAGTCCTAACTGCTATTTGCCTTGAAAAGCAAACTGCCACACACTGTATGAGCCATTTTCAACAACTGAGAGAAGGCAGAGTAGGAGATAGCAACACAAGGAAGCAAGGTTAAGATTTCCAGAAACACAAATGGCAGAGTAAATATCCAGCTCTCACTGACATTCAAGAGGGACAGGGTTTTACAGTGGTGTTGATGGCTTTGACAACCCTTCTGAGAAATACTTTGTGCTTCTAGTAATACTTTTTAACTTTTCATCCATCTCTAATTTCAATTCCTCACACTATTAATAACCTGCATTCACATTCACCACGTACACTATCAGATGAAGAAGGTAAGCTTCACAAATTCCACTCTGACAGTAGCTCACAAGATCACTGTCTGCTTTCTTTGTACCCTAAGCATGAGCCCCGACATCCAAAGGGTCTTTTAGGATTAGCAATCAGTGCCAGGCTTTGCCAACATGCTACCAAGGGCAGTCAGAGCAGGGACAATAACTACATCATCACAGTGGCACCTTATCAAGTCAGACCCAAGCACGACTGTCTCACAGGTGTATTTTCAGTTCTAGCCCAGACAGCACCTAGCGAGTGCTGTCACTCTCTTTCTAAGGCAGAGTTCATGGCACAGTGAGTGCTAACAGACTTAAAAAAACCCCAAACCAAACAAACAAAAAGATCAGCCAGGTAAATTCTGCAGAGTGAAATCATCACACCTGTATATCAGAGAACACAAATAAGTAGGTTTCACACTAAAATAGCCTACTTATTTCAAAGGCTTGCTCCTTACATCTGTGCTTTGTACCTTAAACATATGACTGGGAGGTTTGTTTTGGTATTTTTCCCCCAACCATTTTGAATTCTTTGCTCACCATCTGCTTTTGCCTATCCTGTAACAATCAGCTCAGTCTAGCAAAGATGTAAAAGATGCCTGCTTGGCATAGCAAGAAGGGGGGGAAAAAAGCCAACCCCTGCAGTATTAATTCCCCCTACAAAATCTTGTACAAGCTGCCTACAGATAGAGTATCAGTTGAAACCGTAAACCCATTTATAGCTGACAACAAGATTAATGACTTGTCCTGCACTGATTTCCTTCTATTAGCTATCAGTGGATCTGTTCCATCTGTCATTTTATGGGAAAGAGGGTAAAAAAAAAAAAAAAGCCAGCACACATGACACAGACTTAATTTCTCAGTGATTTCCCAATTGGACTTGTGATGAAAATTACCTACTTACATTTAGTAACTACACCTTCCAAGTGGATGATATTGGGGTGGTCAAATTGTCCCATGATACTGGCCTCACTGAGGAAGTCTCTCCTTTGTTTATCAGTGTAACCAGCTTTTAGAGTCTTGATAGCAACACAGATCTCTCTTTTTCCTGGTACTTTGAGACGTCCACTGCACACTTCACCAAACTCCCCTTAAAGAAAAAGGCACAAGAAACCATAATCGTGAACAAGAAGCATGCACTTGTGTTGTCAAACTGTTATGTCAGTGCATTTGGGGGAACTGTCATACAAAAATTACAGGATCACATTTCCTAAAAGCAAATTTAAAAGTATATTTACAGAAAAAAATTGCAAAAGTGCTGGCACTTACCCACACCAATAACTTTTTCAATCTTTATGCAGGAGGCATCGATTTCTTTGGCAAATTCCCTCACAGCTTGGTTTGGATCCTCATATGTAAAAGGATCCACATATGTTCTAACACCTGCAAGGCAGAAATGTTTTATTTGAAGTCACTGATCTACATGCTGCTGAACACAGAACATATGAGACTGAAGCCTTAATGATATACAACAGCAAAGAGAGTGTACAATAAAAATGTACTGTAAGCCAGGAATGACTGATGAAGGCAGGAAGGACTTAATGTATTTTTCCCCCCAGTGCAATATTTTAAAATGTAAACATTTAATAGTTCCCAATATTGATGTAAGGAATCAGGCTTTTGCCAATTAATGAGCTTCACAAATCACTGCCATCACTAACAGGCCAATCACCTGTCTGTGGATTTGTGAGACTAAAACACATCCCATTTTTCCTATGGAAGCCAGGAAATTCTGAGCTCAGGTCCTGGGCTTGGTACCTGGACGACTGAGATGGAAGCAACAATAGGATTGATTCAGTGCTGGGAAAAAGGCAGCAAAGTTCACATTCTCTTTCCTGCAGCATTGCCTCTGGCCCATTCAAAAACTTTTTTAGCAGAGTATTGTGGGGAGAAATCCTGCCTAAATATCAGTGGCCAAGAACAGCTATCTTTCAGTGCTAAGGAACAATGAAAAAATTTGATAAACCTTTCTCCTGTCTGTACCCTCAAAACTTTTTAGCCAGATACTTCTATTTTCCCCGTTATTAAAGTAGTTTGGAAGCAGGATGGTCACAAGAGATGAAACAAGAAACATATTCATTTCAAGAGGAATGTGATCCCTTTTTTCCCGAGCATCAAAATGTGGGAGGTGTTTTACGATCCAAATCAAAAACCCCAAGCACCATGGCCTTTTACCTTGGTTCAAATGTTTCTCCTCATCTGCCTCTTGCTTAGCCTTGCTGTACTTACTGCGCCTGTCAGAACAAAGCAGAGCATTAGAGTTCAAAATAAGTATCTCACCCTGAGACAAGCTTAGTTGTCCTGACTTGCTGAGACTTGAGCTGCTGGCACCTGCCACAGCCCGGGACACAACACACGCCAGCAGGGCTGGAGGATCCTCTCCTCACACTTCTCTAAGTGTTACTGGCACCAACAGAGCATCAAGGGAAGCACAAACCTACTTGCATCTCCACATTTTAAGAAAGAAAAGAATATGTGCATTTCGGCTGCTTTTTATTCAAATGTGCATTTGCAACTGAGGAGCCAAATTTTGCTTTTTAGCCCTGCCACATCAGGATTTAAATGCTACAACAGAGGTGGTTGACTGATTTTCAAACGTAATTAGGCAAATGCCAATATCAATATACTTATTTAACTGCAAACTTAAACTGGAAACAAGTCTCCACACAGAAATTGGAATCTCAGCAAAAAAAAATCCCCACCAACCCTGATCATCAACAATGCAGATCCCAAGGATTTTTTTTTTCATTCTTTTAATCACTGTATAATTAAAGGGGCTGAAGAGCTCCTGATGGCAGAGCTCCTCTACCAACCCTCTGAGTCGGAGACAATAATGCAGTATAGTATGTTAATTCTATGGATTACTACTTCTACACTTACACCCATGATATTGTATCTAGTTATGAATTTAATTAGTTCAGCTTTAAACTTCAATGAATAAGTAGCATTAAGAAAAGTTAATACAAGAGGTTGGTCCATTAGGGAGGATATTGAGGAGTCAGCTCTGCCATATGTGCAGGGATTTGAAGTTCCCCTGCATCTAATGGTGTGTGGATGTCAAGATCTGCTTTGGGCTTTTACCTATCCATCACCAAATGTTAAGAACCAAGCGTAACAACAGACACTGCTATAGAGAAGGGCTTACTCTCAGTTTGCCTGTTCCTATGGAATTCCAAGACTTTCAGGGTGTCAGACCCAGGTCAGCTAACTGGCAAGAGTCTGGGGTGGAGAGAAGAGGGAAGGCAGAAGCAGAAACCAAGCCTGGAGAAAAGGAGGCAACATTGGTACTGGCTGCAACGTGCAGCTGCTGCCTGGAGTGGGGCAGGAGATGACTAGGCCTGCCAGGGCTACAGGGGTGAGACAGGGTTAAAAGGCTGAAAATGGTGAATAAAGAGAGGAGGAAAACGGGATCAGGTGAGACAAAGACCTGTGGGGAGATGTGAGTTTAAAGGGGTCAAAAAACTTGCAGATAACTGGAAGAAAACACATGACTAAGAGCCCTGCTTGCAGCTAATCTTCATGAGTCTCACCATACCTCTCCCATCAGCAAAACCCTTCTGCCCTTTAGCAAAAAGTATCTCACTTCCATCTCTGTGCCTGCCCTGTGGGGAATGGCAGCTTCCCATCACTGTCAGCTGGGAGGCCATCTCCCAGCCTTTGGCTTTGCAGTCAGTGCTAGGTGTTAAACACACTATGCCAGTAATAAAAAAATATAAATTAACCATGAAACAGAAAGAAAAAAAAATCCTATTTGACATGTGAAGACTAGCTGACCTTTGAACCAAGCCTCACAGCTCCCAACATTGACAGGACTTGTGTTCAGACAGAGAAAGCAGGTACACATCCAACCATAAGCCTTTGGGAGCTTCTTTTCTTGATAAAAATCATTGAAACACAAATGGCTCCAAATCACAAGAAGAGCATTATTAAAAACCACACTGGATCCAAACATCATTTAAACCATTTAATTTGCCCCAGAATTGGTGTAACAGAGCTGAGTTATGGGATGATGTTCTGCTCCCAGCTACTGAACCAAGTAAGACAGAAGAGGTGGCACAAATCTCACCCAGTGCCACATGGGATCAGGTCAATTAAGGGGACTGCAGAGATGGTTTCAGGTATTATACAACTTCTCTCAGAGGAAAGAAAAAAAGCGGGGAAAAAATAATTCTGCTTTCAAATTCATTTTATTAATGTTCAGGCACAGGTGGGAAATACGAAATGCAAACAGGCTTTGCATGAAAGCATTTTAAGTATGAAAAAAATTCTCTTTATCTTATTTTTAAAAAGTACAAGCACCCTAACAACAGATTAAAAAATAACCTTCCCCCACTAAAACCCAAAGACATGCAAAAAGCGAAGGGAAACAAAGGGATTACTGTTCAAGCAATATAATTGTAGCTTATTAAGTTTAAATAATACCTTCCAAACTAACTACCTACTTCCACTTCTCCCTGTGTCACCTGTTGACCTCTCCTGCCTGGCTTTGGGCAGGACACTGCTGTGTGCCATTGTCCCCGAGAGCAGCCCAGGAGTCCTGCACCACGGGGCACAGGGGCTGGGGCTGCCTCTGGGGCAGCTCACCTGAGTGGCAGAAGGGAGCCTTTGTCACAGATTTGAAGCCCGTAATTACAGGGATTTTGGCAGCGGTGATTAAATAGCCGGCATTCAGGAAAAGAACACAGAAGCTTTCAGAAACTGCAGGGGTCAGAGGCACAGGCAGAGCTACAGGTGGGGGCCGGTGATGAAGAGGAGGTAACAACGCAGGGTATTAGCAGGCACTGAGGTGAAACAGCAGGGCCCTGGCGCCACACTGCTGCTCCCACCTCCTCCTCCACACACAAAAGAGGGGCTGGGGGTGCTCAGGCACCAGGCTGGCAGAGCACCTGCTCCAACACCACCAGCAAAAGGTGGGCAAATGTGTTCACCTGTTAGTGGAGCAGAGATAAATCAATTCATCAGCTGGAAGAATTTCTGACAGAAACTTCCAGATGACCAGAGGACCATCCTACTCCACTCAAGTCCTCTTATAAAGTGTCTCTGTTTTACACTTTCTCAAATCCTTTACAACTCTATTTGAGATACCGTAATTTCCCTCAGCACTCCTGCAGAGCAGAGTTTAGGAACACCCATGCCACCTCCTGCACGCTGCTCTGTGGATGTGCCCATCTAAACCTTCAAACCAACATTAGGCAGATTAGTTCTCACATTAACACAAACGCAGTGGTCGCAGGACAGAACCAAACAGCTTGAGCTGCCTGAAGGCAAAGTCCTTTGACAAATTCTGCTGTAAAGATGAATTTTGGGATTTGAACAATGTCCTGAAAAAACGTGATGCCAAATTACTAGTAATAGCCCAGTGTTCAAAAGTGAGCACCTACAGCATATGCCCAGTTCCCACATTTGGCTCGTGGATGCACAGAGGCCATGTCTGCAGGCCAAAGCACGGGTTTGATTGTACAAATATGACTTTTAGTCATGGCTAGATTACAAAACCTCCTCATGGGGACTCTGTGAAACAGAAAAGCTTGTTCTTATCTGAAGTAATTTGGGAACAAAGTATAATTATTTTGCTATTAACTTCTGCTGGTGCAGGAACATCATGAAATATCCCCAAAGCCCACACCTCTAAATGACATTGGTATAGTGGTTAAAATCATTAGAGTGACAGTGAATATTAAAGTAGATTCTGTTTATTGAGAGCTACTTCCAGCGACTGGAGAGCTGTGTATTGAGGAGGGCTATTAATTAGCAAGGCACCATGCATTAGTATGCACAGAGCAGTTTCACTGTCCCGGTATTTCATTCATCTTGCTGTGTCTTTCCCCTTCCACGGCCTCTCTGAGAGCTACCAGTGCGGAGCCACGGGACATCTCAGAGCCCGTGGCCACCAGGGTACTTTTATCTCCATTCCCACCAGTGCCTGGACCAGCCTTTTGTCCCCACTGCCCAGGTGCTCTTTGTGGTGCCTTTGTCTGGGCCGCACACGCGTGGGCAGAGATAACCGAGCAGACATTCTGAGCGGTGAGGGGACCTGTCTGAGATCAGCAGGTCTGTCAGTACCTGGCTCCAGGCAGCCTTTCCTCTGACAGCTTTATGGCCGATACTAACGAGAATCAATATGAGGGCAAGGGGTTGACAGTTCATTTTCTAAAGAGTGATCCATTGAGGGCCAATCACCAAGCAGTGTTTATCAGCCTTGGGAAGAGACACTTTTTTATAGGGGGAGGAGGGGAGGGATCATCTCAAAGTAGCTCGACAGGCTCAATTCTCCAAGGTGGCGACTCATAATTAGAAATCCAATGTATTCTGCTATCAATCCTGCCTTAAATAATAAAATGATCAATAAAAGCAGAGAGGAGATTAAGTCATCAAGCTCAGTGATGCTATTTGCTGTTTCAACGGCTTTTAATAAACCTGTCTCTCTGCATCACATTTTCATATGTTCTGCTCTTCTTTCTTCTTGCCAGCATGGAGGCTTTGAGTTGAACACCCACAGAAAGCTACCACAATGCATGTCTACTTTCCAGATATTACAGTCATAGTCACTTAACTGCTCTCTAGGACGATTTAAAAAGAGCAAATCAAGAGGAATTTGTGCACATTTACAGCTGATGTCATTAAACTGACCAACAGAGACTGACAAAACGGGCATCCCTCAGATCCTGGGCTTCAGATGCAGTAATGATACAACCAGTTTTATCCCAAAATTACACTGAAGCAAGATCATGCTGATCTTTTTAAATGAGACTGAACACAAAGATGAAGACAGAAACACACTGTTTCTGCTACACTGTCCTCCCACTCACAGGATTGTTCCTGACGCCTGGGTTGAATTTGGGAGAATGAACAAGTACTTGGTAGAAGATTATAGTGCTGCTTTGATGAAATAACCATCGATCCAGTCTGCTGTGTTACTGCATATGATGCTGAATGACTATGCCTTCCATTTCACAGTCATATCCACTCACACAGAAAGGACTAACCCAAAAGACTAATGCAAACTCATACAGACTAACACAAAATCACAAGCATAGCAGTCTGATGGCTTAGTTCACAACAGTGCCGTTGTTTACTCTCTATCAGGAGTCAGTCCAAGGAAATCTACTGTACCCATACCCATTAAACTTAACTTCAAATTACAGTAACTACAAATCTCTAGCTGGCTTGCTTCTCAATGCCAGTTATTGGAATCAGCTTTGCATTTGAAGGGCAAATAGAGCTGGAACTATTGCCATTACATCACATGCTGCTTGGTACTAAGTTGAGAAGATCAAAGCTACATGGGAGAAGGCTTGTAATGCAAATGTACTGTTTATGATGCTAATCAAAGAATTTAGCTTTGTTTGGAGGAGACAAAAAGCTCCCTGATGAAAAAAAAAGAAGGACAGAGAAGCTTAAGTTCTTACCTCCTGCTGATGACAAAGGCTGCAATGAGAATGACCACAAGAACAACACTGCCAGCCACTGAAACAAGAAGCACTGTGGGATTGGTACCATCGCCAATGATGGGGGAAGGAACTGAAAACAGAAGAGGGAGCATTAGTATCAGATACCCTCAAAAAATCAACCTAGGTAGCACTCAGTGAGCTTTCCGTCTTGTGAAGGCAGTTTAGAGTAGCACTCAAATCTACTTTCAAGCCTTTATTATATAGTAATTTGATACAATTTTCCAACAGGGTGCTAATAAGCTGAAGACATGATGTTTGATAATGATTTGGGGAACTTAAGTTCACTGGGAAGAAGCATTCCCTCTCCTTCTCTCTTTCAGTGCTCCTCAGAGGGTATAATGGCTAATTTTTTTTGCCTTTCTAATTGCTTTCCACACTTCTTTCCTCCTCCTTTTTCTCTCAGTGGAGCCAGATGATCACTCCCCAGGCCGACACAAAGAGAGTAAGTTATTTTAAAATGTCTACCCTCTTCCTGGATTACTTTCAGTTGTTAACATCCTGAAGGATGTTGCCACTAACTGGCATGACCTTAATTTGATTTAAGCAGACCTATATGTCCAAAATAAAATAGGCTTGGTCACACTGCCTTCCTGCCACAGAAAAGCAAACATTCTGGGAGCTAAATTTGCACATTTCCTTGAGCAAAGTGAAAAGCTCTGCTAACAACATAA